ATGTGTAACTGATGTGATTCTGCAATCTGTATACGGGGTAAAAATGGGAGTTCATAACCCACTTGAATCAAATGTATGAAATATGATATGTCAAGAGCTTTGTAATGTTTTGAACAGCCAATAAAAAAAATAAAAAAGCATCAAAAAAAAAAAAAAAAAAGAAGGACACATATCCATGAAGTACCTGGAGGTGGGTGATAAGGGAGCTGGGAAGGGACATGAGGCACAGAAAGAGTGGCCTGAGACTGTCTGCCTTAGTTGTGCTCAGAGCCAGATCTGAGTGTGCTCTTCAGATTTTGAGAGCAAAAAACAGAATAAATTTTAATGCTTCTCCTTAATTAAATAATCAACATAGTGCCAAAAGAAGGTGCTTCAGGAGGTGACAGAGAGCATGAACTTTGTGATGAGACAAATTCAGGTCCAAGGCTTGTTCTGTTACCCAACTCTTTGAAGTATTAGTTTCCCCCTCTGTTAGAATGCTTTGAACAAACAAAAACAAAACCTACATCAACAGGCTGTCATTAGAATAAAGTGATAGAATGTATGGGAGGAACATAGCCCAATGCCTGCACATAGTAGCTCCACACCAAAGGCAGCCTTCCATTCCTTCTTTCTCTCCCTTCTTTACTCTGTTTGGATGGTGAATCAGATGGGTCTTTGGCTGAAAGCATCAAAAACTGACTGAAACTAACCAAAAGAAGAGGGAGGAATGCATTGGGGTTGCATTTGCTGGATAATCCCCAAACCAAACCATCAAACAAATTATCCTCAAGAAGGAGAGTGACCAGGATACCACAGGAATGAGAGACTGTGACACTGATGATTGGGAGACCAGAGCCTCACTGCCATCAGGTTCTGGCCATGGGTTTGTTCCCATTCCAGGTGCACAGGGATGGTGCCCGCTCTTCTGGAAGGCTTATCTTCCCCAGCTGTCCAGGTTCTCATTACCCTCTCAGGAACTGGGCTCTAAATACCCTCAGGGATAAGGAGGACCCTAAACAGTCCTGGGCTGATCACATATAAGACCCAAACCTTGGTTACCAGCCCAGGACTCTGACCACTGTTTAGCATAGTTCTAATTCAACAAAAGAGCATCACCGTGAAAGGCTGGGGAGGGTTTTTTCCCTTTATATTATTTTAATCATTTTTTTCATCTGGAGGATTTTTTTTTTGCATTATTAAAGTCAAAATACAGTCATTCCTTGATATCTGAGAGAAGTGGTTCCAGAATCCCTATATATATCAAAATTATTATATGAAATGACATAGTATTTGCATGTAGCCTATGTATACCCTTCTATATAGTTAAATAATCTCTATAGATTGCTTGGAATACATAATTTAGTGTAAATGCTAATACAATGTTACACTGTTGGGTGTTTTTTTTTTTTTTGCCAAGAATGCATAAATGAATGTAATAGTGAGAAAACATTAAACAAGTCCAAATTGAGGTACATCCTTCAACTTTGAGTCTGTAATATTTTTCATACTTTTTTTTATTGGTGCATTATAGTAGTACAGAATGAAGGGGTTTGTTGTCACATATTTGTACATGTACACATATAACAATATAATATGGCAAATATCACTCCCCAGCATTCCCTCCTTCCACCCTGCCTCCTACCCCTGGTCCTTTTCTTCTACTGATCTCCCTTTGATTTTCATAAGATTCCTGTCCCCCCGCCCTTTTTTTCCTTTTTGCTCTCTAGCTTTCACATATGAGAGAAAACAAGAAACTTGCAGTGTGAGTTTGGCTTATTTTAATTAACATAATGATCTCCAGTTCCATCCATTTTTTTGCAAGTGGCAGAGTTTCATTTTTCTTTATAGCTAAATAAAACTCCATTTTGTTTATATACTATATTTTCTTTATATATTCATCCGTTGATGGACACCCAGCAGGTTCCACAATTGGACTATTGTGGATTGTGCTGCTATAAACCTGGGTACGCATGTATCAGTATTGTATGGTGACTTTAATTGTTTAGGATAAATACTGAGGAGTGGTATAGCTGGGTCATATGATGGTTCCATGCCTACTCTTTTTTTAAAATATTTATTTTTTAATTATAGGTGGATACAATGTCTTTATTTTTACTTTATGTGGTGCTGAGGTTGGAACCCATGCTAGGCAAGCGCTCTACCTCTGAGCCACAACCCCAGCCCCCATGCCTACTCTTTTGAGGAACCTCCATACTAATTTCCATAGCGGTTGGACTAATTTATAATCCCACCAATAGTGTTACACTATTTTGTTTAAGGAATAATGAAAAAAAATTTAAGTCTGTACATGTTCAGTACAGGTACAATTTCTTTATCCTAAATATATATATATATATATATATATATATATATATATATATATATATTTAAAGAGGGTTTTTTTCTTTTGAGACAGGGCCTCGCTAAATTGCTGTCTGGCCTCAAATTTGCAATCCTCCTATCACAGCCTCCAAAGTCAATCTGATTATAGGAGTGTGCCGTCCTGCCAGCCTGAAACAGTTTTGCTCTATTGCCCAGGCTGGCCTCAAACTCCTGAACTCAAGTGGTCTTCCTCTTTTGACCTCCAGGTGGTGTTCTTTATTTTTTCAACACACACACACACACACACACACACACACATTTTCTACAAAAATAAGTCCATGGTGTAATGTTTTATCTTTTTCTTGTTTAATAATATATAAGTTTTCATATGTCAACAGATACCCTGTCCTGACATGACTTTATTTTATTTTTTGTACTGGGAATTGAATCCAGGGGCTTTTTTGCCACTGAGCTTCATCCCTAATCATTTTTATTTGTTTATTTTGAGAAAGGGTCTCACTAAGTTGCTGAGGATCTAGCTAAATCGCTAAGGTTGGCCTAGAATTTGAGATCCTCCTATCTCAGCCTCTCGAGTCATGGGATTACAGGTGATCTGTTCCATGAACCACCATGCTCAGTCCTGACATAATCTTTTTTTTTTAGTTGTAGATGGACACAAATATCTTTATTTTATTTATTTATTTTTATGTGGTGCCTAGGATCAAACCCAGTGTCTCACACATGCTAGGCAAGTGCTTTACCACTGAGCTACAACCCCAGCCCCTGACGTAATTTTTAATGCCTCGGAGGCATTTCATTGTTTGAAATTGCCATACTGGTAGTTACCATACTCTATTCAACATTTCGTGTGCTTCTGATTTTTCCCTATTATAAGTGGCAACATTGGATCCCCTTATTGGATTTCTTTCTTAGTTGCTTTGTAGGATTAATTCTTCAATAGAATTTCTGAATAAAATCAAAGAAAGAATTTTGCAGTAGTCTGATCAATTGCTCTCAAAAGATTTATTCCAATTTATACCCCACCTAGGACTGTTTGTGTGTCATTTCTATACAACCATGCCTACTCTGGGCACTTAAAAATCTTTCATCTTAGCCAATATGAGAGTTTTAATATATATTCTTACTTTAATTTTAATTGTTGTAATTTCTAGTGAGGTTGGGTGTGTATTAAGATGTTTATTACTATTTGTAACTTCTTTTGTGAATCACCTACCCATACTTTGTCTATTATCCATTTGGATATTCATCTTTAATTTGTGTGGAAATTTTCTGAATAAAAACAATACTATTTCCTTGTCTGTTACATGTTTAACAAATCTATTTTCTTAATTTTTTGTTTCCTTTTAGTTTTGTTTATGACTCATCCCCCTCCATCCCCAGCATATATAGTGAGGTTTTATGTAGTCATAACTATAATCAGTGAGGTGGATGGGCAATCCTGCCCACTTTACTTTGGTGCCTGACAAGCTTGCCTTAACTCTCTCATGTTTTTTCTTATTACCAGTTGGGATCTCCCTGACTCCCCCAGATAAGGGATGCTCCTTGAGCTATAGGGCAAGGGCCAGTGTCTAGTCCTGCCTGTCCCCCCCTGGAGACTAGCAAGGTGAAGAACTCTCTCCTCACCCTATTTCAGGTTACTGACCTCAGGTCCAAACCCCACTGGCAAAGATGATTCTGATGATGATGTCAATGTACTGTCAAGTTCAGTCTCAGATAACTCAGTGGAATCCCCACTCCAAAGCTTTAGCTTTGGTCTCAAGCAGGACACTCAGAACTCTGCCAGAGTCTCTCAATGTACTGAGACTGCTCTCCAGGCTTGCCCTGGAGCAGCTCTGACATGAGCAACTTTCCTCTGTTGGCTAGGCTGGAGGCCCTCTAAGAAATCAAGGGAGGGAGGGAAGAAAGAAGGAAGGGAGGGAGGAACGAAGGAACAAAGGAAGGAATGAAAGAAGGAAGGAAGAGCAAGTGTTGAATCTCAGAACACAATATTCCAGGCCAGGTGTGGTAGTGTATGCCTGTAATCCCAGTGATTTAAGATGCTGAGGAAGGAGGATCCAAAGTTCAAGACCAGCCTGGGCAACTGAGTGAGACCCTGAATCAAAAAATTTTAAAATAGGCAGGGTATGTTGCTCAGTGGTGGAGTGCTTGTCTAGCATGTGGAGGCCCTGGGTTCCAGCCCAATATCAGACACACACACACACACACACACACACACACACATCGCATTACCCATGCTCTGGTTTACTGAGCACTTTGAAGGAGATTGGAAGGGCCTCAGAAGCAAAACTTTCTTTCTGAACTTCTCCTGTTCTTTTTTCTTTCATTTCTCCCCAGAGGTTACAAAAAGTATAATTCCTCCCTACCCCCAACAAATCATAAAATATAAAAATAATACTCTCTGAAGACTCCCAAGTGTCTGATGTCCCTGCCCTATTCCAGGAGGAAGGAATGCTGCACAGAGAGGTCTGGAGGAATGTGAACAGACAGGCCTTGCTGGGTCCCCTCCTTAGACCATTACCACTAGATCATTCTACATAGCTTCCATTCTTGATTAAACCAAAAGATAAAAAAATCATTATCTCTTGGTCTTTGTGTCTTCATTTATGATAGTTTCTATGTTGCATAAAACTTTAAATAAATAAGATCTTCATGCTTTTCTCTGTCTTTTGTTATAGGAATCCCAGCTATGCATCTTGAGATGGGTGAGGTAAAGTATCACATCTTCTTATCCCTGCACATGCAAGCCAGCAAGTACAATGACTGAGTTCCTACTGCGTGCTGGGTGTCTTCACTCAGGTGTCTCTATCCATCAATCACAATGACCCTGTACTTACTACTTTCCCATCTTGGGGATTAGGAAACTGAGTCTTAGAGGAGTAGGTTATTAGTCATTCCACTAACTCATGGAAGAACCTGGGCTTGAACCTACATTCTTTTTCTCCCAGGTTGATACCTGCTCCCCATAAGGCCTTCAGGCTTTGAGCTCTCTCCTTAGTTTCTGGGAAAATGAACAGGGAAACTCATTCACACTAGAGTTCAAATGACTGACATAGCTTTAAAATATTCTCTTTCCCATGGGGCTCCAAGATATGAGTTCAAATCTGACTTTACTTGTTGTAGGGGACAGACAAGGTAAGGCACCAAAGATAGCAGGAAACAGTTTTATTTGTCTGCAGCCAAATTCAGAGGGTATAGCTTTCGCTGTAATCAATTAATCCCCTGAAGCCCGAGTTCAGGTAGTTTCAGAACTTTATACCCAGCATGTAAGGGGAGGGGCTCAGAAGTTCACAGTCTGCAGAAGTTCACAGAAAAGCAGCTTTTTTCTTTCACTGTTTTGGGCAAGTTAACCCTTCAAGGACAACACCTGAGAAGGGGAGAGCTTCTTCTTCCCTTTCTTTCCTCCCCCTGCCAGTTGTTACCATGGAGCCCAATTGGTAACTTCTCTTAGAAATGTAGACATCTTTGTGAAGCTCAGCTCAAGGCCAGAGGCCTTGTTAAAGGATATTTTTTTTTTAAATCACATTTTGCATTTGCAAACACACTTCTACAAACTACTATACTGGGTACATGTTTGTGAAAAACAAGCAAAGGGATGTTCAGCACCTGACGTGCTGATTTCTTCCAGGCCAGTAGCCAAGTAAAATAGATTAACAGGAAAATAGGAAGTTTACCTACATTGAACTTTTCTGTCGAGACTCTTTTGCGTATAGTCCTAAAATCAATGATGGTGAAGATTTCTGGAGAAGCTTAGTTAAGATGTTCTGTGGAGGAGGGGGTGCCACTACATACTCTGTTTCACTTGCAACCTAGGATGGCCAGGGCCATAGAAAGTAGCTTAATTAGACTAATGCTTTTGGAAATTTCCCCAAAAGCTGAGACATTTCCCTTTAAGTCTCTGGAGAGTTCCCAAGAGCCTACTTCCCTGTGCCCTTTCCCGGTTGGCTCCTGGCCAGTCTGGAGGACAAGGAAAAGATGTGAGAGCAATAGTGTCTAGGAGCCTGTCCTTCCATCCCCAACTTATCAGTGGCCTCTGCAAAGGTCTTGGGATTCTTCTAAGGCAGGGGAGGGTGCTGAGAGCCATTGCCAAGTAGGTATGACGCATGGCATGACCCAGGTCATTTGCAGTGACATTGCATGTAAGGTGACCTTGCTCAAGGACCAGGGCGGATCCAGGTTTAAGGTGTACCCTGCTGGGAATAGGGCGTATCCTGCTGCCTCAGGCACGCCCGCTCCTTGAGTTCCCGTTGAGTTCTCGCGGGATTCAGAGAGTATTTGGTATTCAGAGTCCGGTGGAGTGTGTGGATTTGGCCCAGAACATGGATTTGCCCAGAACGTGTGTGTAAAGTGCCGGTGACAGTTCGAGAATAAAGAGTTGCTGTTTGAATCTACAAGGTGTGTGGTGGCTCGTGATTTTGTGCCCAGCCAGACTGCGGCATTTGGTGACCTGTATGCAGAACGTCTAAAGCTTGGAGGTAAGTGAAATTGCTCGCCCCTGAGGGAGAGCGAAAGAATGGGTGACCATTTCAAAAAACAATGTGTTCTTGTTTTGATTTATTTTGTTTTTATTTCAAGTTGCCTGTCCCTAGAACATTCTCAGGCAAACTGGGGAAAATGGTTGGCTCAAAGTTTGAAGTTGTTCACTCCCGAGGAAGAGAAATTGTTAGAGGAAAGAGGCACCCCAGTAAGACCAAGAACAGTTAAGGCATATGTTGATACAATACAAAAATGTAGCCCATGGCTTTTTAAAGACGAGTTATTAAGTATATCAATGGGACCATCATGGTATCCTGTAAAAGGATTTTTCTTCAACAAGAAAGAGATGGCTAGTTCTGTTTACTACATTTGTCTAAGATCTTGGTTTTTACAGACATCTGATTAATTTACAAATCTAAAGTGTTAAAATATCAACCACTAAATATAAAATTAAGTGTTCTTTACTTATTAAGTTACATAAGGTAATATATTTAAACATTATGTGTGTTTTCATAATTTGGTAAATGGAAAAAAGGTTTAATATTGCTTTGGTCTGTGTCTTTGCTAAAACAAGGTTACTAAGAGTTAAGATTCTATCATGTGTAATTTATATACAAAGAGTATAAGAAGTTTTAGTTGGGTTTCAATTATAGTATTATACTACCATAAAAAAATGAAAGTATTTCATCTTATTAAAGTGGAGTAATTTGTCTAAATCAGAAATTTTATAAGAGTTGTTTCAGAATGTGAATTTATAAAAAGGGTTAATGGCTAAAAAAGAGATATTAAAAGATTCAAGATGTGGAAATATATTTTAATAAGGAAGGTTAAAAGAAAAAGAAATGTTTCTAGATGAGATAATCTCTGTGTGGTAAAGTAAAAAGTTGTAAAATGCCATTTAAAAAGATTTTGAGGAAACTAGACTTACTTTAAAAGCTCTAGAAAGGAAGAAAGAAGAAAAAGGTATTTGTACATGGCAGATTGAGACAAAGCTTCTTAATGGAGTAAAAAAAAAGCCTTTAGTTGAGGGGCAGCCATATAAACTAACATTAAGCGATTTAAACAGAATCTAAGCCTTGTTTAAAAGAGTGAAGCTGTAGGTGGTGATAAAGTACATTTAAAATTACAGTATAGATGATAATTGAAAGACTTTAAAAGGTTAAATTGAAGGTGGTTGAGATACCTTCATGGCGGAAAAAAGAAAAAAGAGATATAAAAAGATTCAAGATGTGGAAATATATTTTAATATGGAAGGTTATAAGAAAAAGAAATGTTTTTAGATGAGATAATCTTTGTGTGATAAAGTAAAAAGTTGTAAAATGTCTAAGTAAGTTGCAAAAGGCTTTAAAAGGTTAAATTGAAGGTGGTTAAGATGCCTTCATGATGGAGGAAAGATTGCGTCATTCGAAGCCTAGTTAATCTTAAAGGCATTACTTAAAAAAAATAAACACATGAAAATGGGAAGATAATAGGATAAAAGATACTTAGATAAAGAAGATTAAAAATTTGAAGTGAAAAATTTTAAAGACAGAAGTATAGAAAGTTAAAAAGAAAAAAAGAAAAGATGTAGGAAGATAAAAAAGATGTAGGAAGACAATAATTTTAAACCCACAAAATAGGATACAAAAGAAAACTAAGAGGAAAAAAAAAGCAACTAAGGGTGAATGTACAAACCTTAGGGGGAAAAAAAACTAGAAGATAGAAATAAGATAAAAAATGGTTGAAAATGTCAAGTAAGGTATTTCAGATAGAAAATGCAAAAAGCTAAGACAACTATTAGATACAGACATATACTTATTAAAGCAAAAAGAGGGAATTGGAAAGGGGTATATATCCCCCCAAAATAAACTTAAAATAACCCTTTTTACTGTAAACTTTTAAAATTTGGATTCATCAGGACTTAGTGCTGTGGAAAGGCATATGTATCCAAAAAATGTACATAAGCCTAAGGTACTTTGGAAGGATATTCTAACAGGACAATGGAAAGATCCTGACCCAGTGATTGTCTGGAGTCGGGGTTCTGTTTGTGTGTTTCCACAGGGAGAACAGCAACCGATTTGGATTCCAGAGAGACTAACCAAAGCAATTTCTACAGACCAAAAAGAAGACGATTTGACTCAAATCCATAACAGCTGATATCCAGAGCTCCAGCTTGGCTATTCTTACATCTGCGACAGTGATTAACCAGGATGCTTTTTTCAATATCTATTTTATTATTGCCTTTTCCCACATCATAAAGTTCTGTTTTATTTTTTGAGCTCATACAAACCTAGGTTAATGTTTTTCTGATCAGTTTTATTTTTTGACTGTGGAGTTTTTAAACATTGCAATGGAGATTTCACCTAGGTAAAGCTACAAGGCCTTTACTATTATCTTATGTGTTGTACGTTTGTGTGCACTCTTGTGTTTTGTGTTTTGTGTGTGAGTATGTCCATCTTTCATATATGAGGAGCACTCATGAAAAAATGGATCCGAATTATTTTTTTTATTCACGTGATTTAAATGGTTTAATTTAAATTAGGTAAACAGCTGTTAAGGATTGTTTTTAAAGGAGGTTAACAGATGCTAAGAGCCAAGTATATGATGCATGGCATTTTTGGTGGAAAGGTGACGCCAGCTAGCCATTGAGATGATATGATTATGTTAAGATTTGCATTCATATGGATATTGGACTCCTGCTGTTCACCTAGGCCAGCTACGGGACTCCTGGAGAGTTCCCATTGGTTGGGGAAGTACAGTAGGAGGGAGTTTCGGGGGAGGAGCTCTCTCTGCGGGTCTGAGAGGAGGCCGCGTGGGTGGAAAAAATCCTTCCCGGGCGGTACCGGACATTGGCGGCAGTTTCAAAAAATAAACTTTGTTCCTGCTTGAGTGGCTCGTGATTTTGTGCCCAGCCAGACTGCGGCAACTGGCGGCCCGCACGGGGAATGCCTGAAGCTTGGAGGTGAGTAAAATTGCTCGCCCCTGAGGGAAGGCAACAAAATGGGTGACCATTTCAAAAAACAATGTGTTCTCGTTTTGATTTATCTTGTTTTTGTTTCAAGCTGCCTATCCCTAGAATTTTCTCAGGCAAACTGGGAAAAATGGTTGGCTCAAGGTTTGAAGTTGTTCGGCCCTGAGAAAGAGAAAATTGATACAACTATTCTTTGTTCGGTTTTTGTTTCATTCTGTTTCGGTTTTGTTTTATGCTATCTTATTGGGTTGCGTTACCTTTATAGTAGATTAGAAACTAGTAAAAAACAAACCGAAAGACTGTTAAGTAAATTGTTAGAGGTCCAGACTATGGTAGAAAACATGTTAGGTCAAGCGAAAGAGAAGGTCTCTCAAGCTAGTCAGACAGAGGAAGATTTGAAGAAAGAAAGCTTAGAGGAAAAACAACCATCAGGTGGGGAATTACAACAGGAGGCTGCTACCAACCCCGTTCTATCACCAGAGGGCATAATTCAACCAACAGCTCCATCTACAGCTGAGCGGCCCTCAACTCCCATAGTTGATGGACGGAATCCTGAGGCAGGACCCCAAAGATTAGCATGCCCTGTACTTGAGCAGGCAGGAGGGCAACGAATTCACCGTGCTTTAGATTTCAAAACAGTGAAGCAATTAAAGGAGGCTGTAACAACCTACGGGCCACAAGCACCCTTCACTGTGAGCATGGTCGAATCCATTACCAACTTAGACATGACGCCAGCAGATTGGGCTAACATGTGTCGATCTGTGCTAAATGGAGGACAATATTTGTTATGGAAGGTTGCCAATGAGGAATTTTGCATGGAAACAGCTAGGCGAAATGCAGCAGCCGGTTACCCTAAAAGAAATCTAGATATGTTATTAGGAAAAGGACCTTATGAGGGTCAACGGCAACAAATTGAATATGATCCTGGCGTATACGCACAAATTGCTGTAGATGCAATTAAGGCATGGAAAACTTTACAGGGGCATGGAGATTTACAAGGACAATTATCTAAGGTAATACAAGGAGCTAATGAACCTTACACTGAATTTGTAGATAGGCTTATTCAGACAGCATCTGGAGTATTTGGAGATACAGAACAGGCAATGCCATTTATAAAACAACTGGCTTATGACCAAGCAAATCGTTGCTGCAGAGAGGTCATCAGACCATGGAAACATGAAGATTTAAACACATATATTAAATTATGTAGAGACATTAATGAACAAGGGCAAGTCTTAGCAGCAGTACAACAGGCTTTAGATGCCAGGCCAAAAACATGCTATAATTGTGATCAAACAGGACATTTTAAAAGGATTTGCCCCATAGGAGGAGGGTTTAACAAGGCTAGGTATCAAAGGAATAGAATACCGGGTATTTGCCCACGATGCTGTAGAGGGAAACATTGGGCTAATGAATGCCGTTCTCAAACCACCATAGAAGGTATTCCGTTATCAAAAAACAGACAAGGACCAAGTATTTACCCATGATATCGTGGAGAAAGACATCAGGCTCCATTGCCAAAAAACGGACTGGAGGGCCCAATGCTCCGGGGCCCAAAACCACAAATATACGGGGCAATGGAGGAACCCAGCAGCACCATCAAGGTAGTGCCCAGGACGCATTATCCATTAAATCCCTCATCAGACAAACTAGAGGGAGCGCAGGGTTGGACATCTGCGCCTCTGCCAGAGCAGTACTAACTCCAGAGATGGGAGTTCAAATCATTCCCACAGGAGTAAAGGGACCTCTTCCCCAAGGAACAGTAGGCTTATTATTGGGACGCAGTTCTTCAACACTAAAAGGACTTATGATAAGTCCTGAGGTAATTGATCCCGATTATGAGGGTGAAATAAAAATTATAGCTAGTTCTCCAAGAGGTATATCAGTAATTTCACCAGGAGATAGAATAGCACAGTTATTAATAATACCCAGCCTACATGATAAATTTTCCAGTCGTACTATAGAAAGAGGTTCCAAGGGATTAGGCTCCACAGGTGTAGATTGGGCTATGCTGTCTTTAAATCTAGATTCTCCCCCCATGCTAAAACTAAATATTCAAGGACATGACTTTATTGGGCTACTGGACACAGGTGCTGACCTTAGCATAATATCTCGTCAAGAATGGCCAAAACACTGGCAATTACAACAAGCCACTCAAACGCTTCGAGGCCTAGGAGTGGCAACTAATCCCCATAGAAGTGCAATGGTATTAGATTGGAAGGATCCTGAAGGATGTGAAGGAACTATACAGCCCTATGTATTGAATCATCTTCCTATAAATTTATGGGGACGAGATGTCCTAGATCAATTAGGTTTGACATTAACAAATAACATCAATCCTAATGCGCCCACTACTAGGGCTAGACAAGGCTTTAGGAAAGAAGAAAGATTAAGAGAACAAGAACAAGGTATGACAGCACCAATTCAAATAGATCAAGAAACAAATAGACATGGATTGGGTTTTCAGAAAGGGCCACTGAGACAATCAAAATTACTTGGAAATCAGAAAGACCAGTGTGGGTTCCTCAGTGGCCCCTGACTAAAGAAAAGATACAAATAGCCCATGACCTGGTCAAACAACAATTAGCGGAGGGACATATACAACCTTCCGTATCTCCCCATAATACTCCCATTTTTGTCATTAAAAAGAAATCTGGTAAATGGAGATCATTACAAGATTTAAGAGCCATTAATAATGAGATGGTTATTATGGGACCTGCTCAATCAGGGATTCCCAAATTGTCTGCTTTACCAAAAACCTGGTATGTTTTAGCTATAGATATTAAAGATTGGTTTTTTTCAATTCCAATTCATCCCGAGGATAGTCCACATTTTGCATTTACTATCCCTGCACTAAATCATGAAGGTCCTGATCAGAGATATGAATGGAAAGTACTCCCTCAAGGGATGGCTAATAGTCCAACTATGTGTCAAATTTATGTTAACAAAGCAATCCAGCCACTTAGAAATCAAAATCCTGAACTACAAATATTTCACTATATGGACGATGTGTTATTGGCACATAAAGATAAAAACACATTGCTAGAATGTTATGCCACACTTACAAATTTATTAAAAAATTATAATCTAGAGATAGCAATAGATAAAGTACAATTAAATCTTCCAATTAATTATTTAGGGGTTTTATTATCCTCAACCATGGTCCGTCCACCCAAAATTCAAATACGAGTAGATCAACTCAAATCACTTAACGACTTTCAAAAGTTATTAGGAGACATAAATTGGATAAGGCCTTATCTAGGCATACCAACAGGAGAGTTGGGACCTTTATTTGATATTCTAAAAGGTCCATCAGATCCAAATTCACCCCGCATGTTGACGCCTGAAGCAAGAAAGGCATTAAAAATCATTGAAACATATATGGAAAATATGCATTTGAATAGAATTGATATAAGTTTGCCTTTATTATTTATTGTACTGCCAACAAAAAATATTCCTACAGGAGTGTTCTGGCAAGAAGGTCCATTATTGTGGATACATTTATCGTATTCTCCTAACACTATTCTTACTAGATATCCTGACGCTGTAGGACAATTAATACTCAAAGGAATAAAAGCAGCCAAGGGAGTGTTTGGGATTTCTCCCAATAAAATTATTACTCCATATACTATGGATCAAATTGATGAGTTAGCTAATGAGTTAAATACTTGGGCAATAATCATGTGTAAATCTAATGTTTCATTTGATAATCACTTACCGTCTAATCCTTTGTTGTCTTTTTGGTCTAAACATCCTGTAGTTTTTCCAAAGATGACAAAAAAAACCCCTATCATGAATGCTCCGAATATATTCACTGATGGGTCAAATAATGGTACAGCAGCAGTAGTTACCCCTGATCAAACTTTTACATTTTTAGTACCCAAACAATCAGCTCAAAAGGTAGAGCTTAATGCAGTATTACAAGCTTTTATGATGTTTAAAGATTCTGTATTTAATTTATTTTCTGATAGTCAGTATGTAGTTAATGCTATAGTATCCCTTGAAGATGCTGGTAGGATTTCCCCTTCTTCTACTGTTTTCTCTTTGTTTTCCACTATACAAAGTCTAATCTGGGACAGAAAAGATCCATTCTTTATAGGACATATCAGGGCACATACAGGATTGCCTGGAGCCCTTAGTTTGGGCAATGAGTTAGCAGATAAATCTACACATGACATACGTATTTTCTCCACAATAGAAGAAGCTATAAATTTTCATAAAAGGTTCCATGTCAATGCTAATACTTTACAAAAGCGTTTTAAAATAACTAAAGAACAAGCCCGACATATAATAAAACAATGTCAAAATTGTGTGACCTTTTTACCACAAGTTAATCTTGGAGTCAATCCTAGAGGACTGATACCTAACCATATTTGGCAGATGGACGTCACACACTTGCCAGAATTTGGAAAATTAAAATATTTACATGTTACAGTTGATACTTCTTCCGGATTTCTGATGGGCTCCCTTCATGCCGGAGAAAAAACTAAAGATGTTATAGCTCATTGCTTACAAAATTTTGCCACTGTGGGCGTTCCAAAACAGTTAAAAACCGATAATGGTCCTGGTTATACGTCCACCTCTTTTAAACAATTTTGCTCATCATTTGGCATTACTCACATAACAGGAATTCCATACAATCCACAAGGACAAGGCATAGTTGAAAGAGCTCATCAAACTATTAAAATGTACTTATTAAAACAAAAGGAGGGAATTGGAAAGGGGTATATATCCCCCAAAGATAAACTTAAAATAACCCTTTTTACTCTAAACTTTTTAAATTTGGATTCATCAGGGCTTAGTGCTGCGGAAAGACATTTGTATCCAAAAAATGTACATAAGCCTAAGGTACTTTGGAAAGATATTCTAACAGGACAATGGAAAGGTCCTGACCCAGTGATAGTCTGGAGTCAGGGCTCTGTTTGTGTTTTTCCACAGGAAGAACAGCAGCTGATTTGGATTCCAGAGAGACTAACTAAAACAATTTCTACAGACCAAAAGGAAGATGATTCGACTCAAATCCATAACAGCTGATATCCAGATCTCCAGCTTGGCTATTCTTACATCTGCGACAGTGATTAACCAGGATGTTTTTTTCAATATCTATTTTATTATTGCTTTTTCCCACATCATAAAGTTCTATTTTATTTTTGAGCTCATACAGACCTAGGTTAATGTTTTTTCTGATCAGTTTTATTTTTTGACTGTGGAGTTTTTGAACATTGCAGTGGAGATTTCACCTAGGTAAAGCTACAAAGCCTTTACTATTGTCTTATGTGTTATATGTTACATGTGCACACTTCTGTTTTGTGTTGTATGTCTGTATGTGTGTATGTGCATATATCACATATGAGGAGCGCTCATGCACATGGATCCAAAATTTTTTTTTTTATTATTCATGTGATTTTAATAGTTTAATTTAATTTGGGTAAACAGCTGTTGAGGATTATTTTAATATATGAACAAATAGAAGGTTAACAGATCTGTTTGTTTACTTTCACCTTTCCTTTTCATTATATTTAATAATTCTGTTCAGGATAATGTAAATTGTTCTAAATATTGTTTTCTTAGTACCTGTTGAAATGCTACATATTTTTTTTTTAGCATCATTGTCAAAATTCCTATTTTCATCCCAGTGCCGGTGAAGACAAAGATAAAACCAAACTACAACTTCTTCGAGAGTTATCACAACAAACGGTGTAAACTGATACATCAATGATTTATAACTCAACAAGTAATGCTCAATCAATGAGTCGATTTATTTTGGGAGGATATGGACATATTGATAGATTCCTTTGCTTTGAACTGCTTACAGAACTTGCCTGGACTATGTATCACTTGTATGCTTTGTGATCTATTTGTTGATGCAGCGAATTATGGTAGTGCTAGCGTATCTTTGCTGATGTGTCACCAGTGATGCAATTTTTCCTAGGAGCCGTTAATTGACTTGGTGTCATGACATTTCTGTATCCTCCTCCCTTCTACTAGTGATGGTCTAAATTTGGGGGCCAACAGAGGTGAGGCAAAGAACCTCACCCCCCCACTGGTACATAGGCCTATCCACAAGTATGGCTATATGCTGGACCGGTAGTCAGTGACGGGTATGATCCAATTGCAGTGGTATCAACCTAAGACAGGAGGCTGACGCCTAAAAGTCAGTTTTCCGATGACGGGTAAGAACCATATGTTGAATTGGACAAACCTAACAGGCACGGTCCCTAGCCAGATTGCTTGTTACTTAAACAGAAGGGGGGAGATGCTAAGAGCCAAGTATATGATGCACGGCATTTTTGGTCGAAAGGTGACGCCAGCTAGCCATTGAGATGATATGATTATGTTAAGATTTGCATTCATATGGATATTGGACTCCTGCTGTTCACCTAGGCCAGCTAGGGGACTCCTGGAGAGTTCCCATTGGTTGGGGAAGTACAGTAGGAGGGAGTTCCGGGGGAGGAGCTCTCTCTGCGGGTCCGAGAGGAGGCCGCGTGGGTGGAAAAAATCCTTCCCTGGCGGTACCAGACATTGGCGGCAGTTTCAAAAAATAAACTTTGTTCCTGCTTGAGTGGCTCATGATTTTGTGCCCAGCCAGACTGTGGCAAACAGATCTGTTTGTTTACTTTCACCTTTCCTTTTCATTATATTTAATACTTCTTTTTCAGGATAATGTCTCTTTAGCATCATCGCCAGAATTTCTATCTTCATCCCAGTGCTGGTGAAGACAAAGATAAAACCAAACTACAGCTTCTATGATAGCTATCACAGTAAACTGTATAAACTGATGCATCAATGAATATAACTCAACAAGTAATGCTCAATCAAGGAGTCGACTTACTTTGGGAGGAAACGGGCATATTGATAGATTCCTCCGCTTTGAACTGCTTGCAGAACTTGCCTGGACTATGTAACTATCATTTGGTGCAGCGAATTGTGGTAGTGCTGGCATTGCAGTGGTATCAACCTAAGACAGGAGGCTGACGCCTAGAGGTCAGTTTTTCCCATGACGGGTAAGAACCATATGTTGAATTGGACAACCTACCAGGCATGGTCCTTAAGCCACATTGCTTGTTGTTTAATTAATCAGAAGGGGGTAGATGCTGAGAGCCATTGCCAAGTAGGTATGACGCATGGCATGACCCAGGTCATTTGCAGTGACATTGCATGTAAGGTGACCTTGCTCAAGGACTAGGGCGGATCGGGATTTAGGGCGTTCTGGGTTTAGGGCGGTTCCAGGTTTAAGGTGTACCCTGCTAGGAATAGGGCGTATCCTGCTGCCTCAGGCGCGCCTGCTCCTTGAGTTCCCGTTGAGTTCTCGAGGGATTCAGAGAGTATTTGGGATTCAGAGCCCGGTGGAGTGTGTGGATTTTGCCCAGAATGTGAATTTTGCTCAGAACGTGTTTGTAGAGTGCCAGTGTGAGTTCGGGAATAAAGAATTGCTGTTTGAATCTACAAGGCTGTGAGTGGCTCGTGATTTTGTGCCCAGCCAGACTGCGGCAGGAGGGTGGATGGGAGTGGGGAATGGGGAGACACTTATTCTGATGTGTGTGACTTAAAGGAGCCAGGCCCTAGTGTTAATGTGGTCCGAGAACAGAAGCAAGGTACATTTCCAAAAGCACTGTGGAGCTCCACAGGGGCCACTGCAATGGAATCATTTCTCTCTCATGGTCTCCAGGTTTGAGGAGAGAGTGGATTTTAATCCTGCTTCTACTGCTGAGTGCTTGGGAGGAATTAATCTCGGGAATCTTGGCTTCCTCTTGGTAAAATGGAAACACTACTGTTGGGCCATGGTGAGAACTGAAAGAGGCAATAAACTGAGAGAGTCCAACAACTCAGGCTGTAGCTTCCTTCACTGGCAGTGTCTGCCCAGAGCAGTGCGTTGAGAAAGTTAGTAGCAAAGAGTATTGGGATGAGATCTGAGCTCTAGCCAGTGTAGATCAGTGGCATGGAACGCGGGAGTCTCAAGGAAGGGTGCTTCAGCTGCACAGTATGCATTCTCACCAGGGCCTTCTGGGCTAGCCACCGCATGCTAGGCCTGCTGTTTTCACCCATCTCCGTGTTGCTCCTAACCACCAGGAACCCAGAGGTGCTACTGCAGCTGGAGGCCGCTCTGGTCGAGGAGCATCCCGGCCTGCAGGTGGAGCAGATACCCACCTGGGCTTGGATGCTGGCTTGCAACAGCTGCTCTCATCCCCACATGACCTCCCCAGACCCGAAGGGCTTCAGTGATTGCTGTTTATAAATGATGTGGCCACTCTTGGGGATTTTCCAAAGGCTTCCTGAACCTGAATGACCCAGCTGTAGCAAACAGCTACTGGGCTATGAACTTCCACACTCTGCCTGACCTCCAGCCTCCTGAAGGCCTTCCAGGACTGTCCTGGCTTGAATAGGACTGTGACTAACATCTATTCCACCTGTGCCCTAAAGCCTTTCAAGGGCAGGGCGTTGTACTGTGCAGGGAAGGCTGCTCCGTGCAATGATGCTCCAGGTCCTGGCTGCCGAGGAACCTAGTGTGAGGATGCTGAGCTATGACCCAGGTGTCCTGGACACAGACATGCAGCAGTTAGCCCAGGAGACCTCTGTAGATCCAGGTTTATGAAAAAGGCCACAGATCTGAAGACAATGTTGATGCTGGTGGATTGCCTGGAAACTGCTGAACTTGCCACAAGCAGACACATTGGAGTCTGGAGCCTATGTGTCCTTCTAGTAAATAGCTCATGTCCTTGAATTCTTGGGCCTTTTGGCTTCTACTTTGGGGCACATCACATGAGCCCTGTGGCTACCCAAATCCTTTCACAAAGGCCCTGCCAACCCTGTCCAATGCAGACTACTCATACCTACTGCCCTGCCCTCAAAGGCAACCAGTGGGAGTGGCTGGTATCACCAGTTGACAGGATCTGTGTCATGCAGCCTGGATGATAAGGAGGCCTGGAGAGAGGTTATGGGTGTTGTAGTTCTCTATCCCCAGGGACAGAATTTTAGGTATAGGAAGAGCAGGAAAAGCAGCTGAAACACTGAAGAAAAAAGTTGAATCTCTTGCCCTCAGCTAGTCTGTGGGAAAGGAGGACTGATCTAATGTGAAGCGTGAGGGCCCGTGCAGATTCACAGGTGGCCTGGAGGGAAAGGAGGGCAGAAGAGTTTCCAGCCCACAGAGATGCTCCTTGCTCAGCTTAACGGGAGCTTCTGTTGAATTTCCTGTCCTTATCCTGATGCCTTCTCTCCTTTAGAACCCCTCTTCTCTCTAGGTTGGGAGTGTATGTACACAAAGAAGGCAGATACAAATAAAACACAGCTCAGTCTTTAAAAAAAAAAAAAGTGTTGGGATCTACCAGTTGTCTCCCCTGGATAAGAAGAGGGAGGTGGACACACAGCTAAACACCTCTGGCCTGGGGCATAGTAAGTGTTAAATAACTAGGAACTCCCTTCCCCCCACTTTTAGGAAGTTACCTTCCCCACTTGTCACTCCCTTTCCTGCATGAGCCTGGGTATCACCTGTCCTCTGATCCCAGACACAAACTCATCTGAGGTTTCCATTCCAAAGAAGCCTGGATTCCAATTGCAGAATCCTTCCTCCTTTATTTGTCTCAGGACACATGTCATAAGAGCATTAGGGTGACCAAGTGAGAATTTACTTTAGATGGAAGAACATGTCTAAATGTACATTGAATCCTCCTGCCTCAGTCACTAGGTTTCAGTCACTCTGGAATTACAGAGTTCACCTGCATTTTTGTCATATGAGGTCAGGTATGGAATTTTCCACTTGTGGATCATGTCAGAGCTCAAAAAGTTTCAGATTTTAGGGTCGGGGGTTGTAGCTCAGTGGTAGAATACTTGCCTAGGACGTGTGAGGAACTGGGTTTGATCCCCAGCACCACATACAAATAAATAAAATAAACGTATTGTGTTCATCTACAACTAAAAAAATTATTTAAAAAGTTTCAGATTTTGGAGCATTTTGGATTTCAGATTTTTAGATAAGAGATGTTCAATCTGTATACAAATGTATGTGTATGTACACATATATACATGCAAATCTTATTGCATTTTATAACTTGATGTGTTTTCCAGTGAACATGCATTATATTTTTAATGAGAAAATAGTTATGAATCAATACATTTCCCTGGTTTAAAAGTTATATCAGTGTTTTTTTTTTTTTAAGTACTGAAATCTAGTGCTGTGGTAGTGGCTCAGCAGTAGAGCACTTGTCTAGCTAGGCACTGGGTTCATTCCTCAGCACCACATAAAAATAAATACATAAATAAATAAATAAATAAAATTTTTTAAAAGTACTGAAATCTATATTGACAGAGGATCACAGTACAGATTAAACAGCTCAAATGTCCTCCAACCTCCCCTTAATCATTTAGATCCCATGAATTTTTTTTTTTTTTGATACTGAGGATTGAACACATGGGTGCTTAATCATTGAGTCACATCCCCAGGCCTTTTTTATATTTTATTTAGAGACAGGGTCTTGCTGAGTTGCTAAGTGCCTGTTAAGTTGCTGAGAATGTCTTTGAACTCACCATCCTCCTGCCTTAGCCTTTGGAGCTGCTGGGGTTTACAGGTGTGCAGCTTCGGCGTCCAGCAGTCCCAGGAACTCTAAAGTATTGAGAATTCCCAAAGAATCCAACTTAGTTTCTCTCCTCTTAACACCCATTTAATAAATACCTTGCAATTTGGCTCTGCACCAGGTGTCAGGAGTTGGGCTGGAGAAATCATGATGGCTATCCTCAAGGGGTTGGGCAAATGAAGTACAGAGACAAATGTCCTTCAGTGGATGGATGGTATTTAGAGATGCAAGAGGGAAAATGTAGAGTGAGGCCTCCCAGCTGGGCAGTAGACCCTCACAGGCTACAACTTGTGTTTCCCACTGTCCTCTCAAGTTTTGCTAAGGCTTGGGTTCCCCAGATCTGCTGTGGGGGCTCAAGCCCCTGCAAGGGCAGCTCTCTAATGAGGACCCCTCTTCCCTGCTGACTCCAGGGGACACAGCTGTGAAGACCTAGGTCCCTGGGGACCAGGGACCAGTGCTAGGCTTCTATTAGCATATTCCCCTCATATCCCCTGAGGCCCGGCAGGAGTGCTGGCCTTAAAGAACCCACTCCTGCCTGTGGAGAGCAGCTCCTAGCCCGGGGGACGAGTGAACCCACTTCGTCAGGTCTTAGTGAGAGGCAGCCTTGGCAACTGAATCCCATGGGAGGGAATGTGTGCCTAACAGCTCCCCGTGGACTTAACCTGCAGGTGTCCTCACTGCCAAGGGTTATTTAGGGTAGGGGACCAGCTGCTCCCTGGTGCCAATGAGATCAGAAAGCAGGGCTGAGGTGTAGAGTATGGAGACCTGGGCTCCAGTTCTGACTCTACCTGGGCAAACATAGCAATATTTGTTCCCTACTGTGTGCCAAATACTCTGCAACATCTTTTTTTTTTTTTTTAAGTATTTTCTCTCTTTTACAGGTAAGGAAACTGAAGCCTAGAGAAGCTCCCTAAGTTGCCCAAGATCAACAACTGGAATCTCAGTCCAAGTCTCTGGCTTCAAATAGGGTGCTCCCCCTCCCCATGACCTCTGT